AGCTCCGGGCTGTAGTGGAACTGCGGCATTATAATACTGGCTGAATTGGAGGGTTGCAGTTAAATCATTTCTACCTTTGGACTGCCCCTAGCAACTGTTTGCTCCCAGCTCCTGCAGTCAATGTGTTGATGTATCCCAGGGCTAGATACTTAACCCCGTGTTTCTCCCGATGGCATCGCCAACGGTGTGTGAATGTGTGTGAATGTGTGTGAATGTTAGCTTCCTTGAGCAAGTGGCACATTGCTCTGTGAGAATGAGGTGTTAATGGGTGAATGATGACTTTTAAATGTAAAGCGCTTTGAGGGGTCGTAAAGACTGGACATAGTGCAATCTACCATTTACCCCCCATTTATACATCATAAGCTTTATTTCCATTAATTTCCACACAAATCCAGATACTGCATCTTCTTAGTTTTAAGGCATTTGTACCAGCCTAAAAAGGAACTTATGTTGGGGGTCAAAAGTCACTTTCTCGTGAACGAAATATCTTGGGAACACCTGGACGGAATTTCCTCAAATTTGGCACAAACATCCACCCGGACTCTAATGATAAAGAAGGATTAGGGGGTCAAAGGTCACTGTGACCTCACAAAACACATTATTGGCAATTACTCAATAATTGATATGCCAAGTTTGACAATTTGATGCAACTGTAAACTGCAGCTTGAGTTGTGAGTCAGCAATTCCAGTTTCTTAAAGTCTGGTGCTAGCCAGGTCAAGTAATTTGGGATAACATGTTGCACAAGTGTCTCTTATTTTAATTCATGATGGTTGATGTTGTTGCAGATGGAAGGGAGAAAACGTTGCCACATCAGAGGTTGCAGATATTCTCACATTGGCTAACAGCATTTTGGAGGCAAATGTCTACGGTGTTAAAGTTGAAGGTAAAAACGCTTAACGAAACCACATTTTACAGATTGTAGTGTAGACGACAAGGTTAAATGCAGTATTCCCCTTGTTGCTTTTTCATATTATTTTTTTAATAAATTGTGTGTTAAGGTCACGAGGGGCGGATCGGCATGGCAGCTGTCACTCTGAAAGAAGGAGAAGACTTTGATTGTTCGCACGCCTACAAGCAGGTCGTCAACTACCTCCCCGCGTACGCAAGACCTCGATTCATCAGGATTCAGGTAAATAAATATATGTATATGCTTTTCTGACTTTTCCCATGCACCTTCTGTCTTGTGAGGTCAAACATGATCCAACCTGGTTTTGATTTGACCTCTTTTGTTTGTTTCTGAACCTCTCTGTTCAGATCAGCTCGCCCTTTTAAACTCGGATATCTGGTTTAGCAAGATTTAAAGGCTTTTACAATCAATAGTATTTGGCATCGCCTCTTATCCAGCAAACAAGCTCTACTTGTTGGAGGTTGTTGTGGCTGTACTCTGTAAGGAGAACTACAGACACTACTCAGGTCTGAAAGAATGCCCTCAACTCCTCTGCATTCTTTGGTAGAAATAAAATCCTTTTTATTCACAGATATTTCTCCCAAAAGGGGCTGGAACTGATCATCAGTCAAAAATATAAAACAGTATAAGACAAGGCTCTTAGTAGTGAAGTTAGATATAAAACAGTTTTCAAGTATGTTGTTGACCTTGGAAATAATACTTTAAAAATAACAATAATATTAATCGAAAAGTATTATGTCTACATCAATGAAATTATACGTAATCATCGGGTTAGTGCATTATATTATGCAGCAATATATGTAGCTTTTTGTATGAAAGCCATTTCAAACATCACTGTTATTTACTTACTATTTAAACAATTTTTTATTTAAGAAACTCTGACTTCATTGTTACACCACATCTGATACCTAACCTACACCCATGTTGCAACTGAGAGTCAGGATGTCTGATGTTACCGATAACAGATCTGCTATCAGTGCTCTTGTTTTCCCAAATTTAAAATGTGTACACTTCACTGCGAGGAACTAGCTGGATGTTATAGCTTAACATGAGACTTCTGTGGTGTTACAAATAGAGTCAGCTGCCTGCATGTGTGAGGTGTGAAATGTGGATCTGTGACCCCTGGCTGTTACCCGATACGCTCATTATGCGTCCCTCGAGTGTCGTTCATCGTTTCGTTGTTTGCTTTCAAATATAAGAGAAAACTATTTTTAAAGATCCCCCTATGTGTCTTGCAGCCCTGCCTGGAGATGACGGGGACGTTCAAGATGAAGAAAGTGAAGTTGGTGGAGGAGGGATTCGACCCGGCTCACATCGAAGATCCTCTGTACTTTTTAGATCCGGAGAAGAAGTCGTACGTTCCCCTGACGGAGGAAATCTACAGAGCGATCGGTGCAAGGGAAATCAAACTATAACCTCGTCAGTCACTGTTGAATAAGACGATTGTTTACAAAGGTGCAACATTTCATTCATGGAGCTTGTTTTTAACAATGAACTAATCTCAGGAACGGACGGACTATGAAGCGTTACGTCATGTTTCAATAACCTAATTTTACTAACATATTTTTTAATTCTTCAAGTTGACCTCAGCTCTAAATCTCAAGAATATGAAAGTCATTTACACTAACTTTTGGTCTCTTTTTTATTTAAATACCCCTTTTAGATCAAATATGTCTACCTCCCGAATATAGAAAATTGTGCAAATCATCATTAAATCCTTCTGTTGACCCGGAAAGATCTTTAAGCTGTTTTAAATTAAACATGTGAACGTTTTTTTTCTTACTTCCCCTCACAAGGTAAACTTCCTTTTCAGCAGTTTCTTACCCAAGCTGTACGATGTGAAAAACAAATGCTGCCCATATCTTTTCTGCGGTTTGTTATATATTTTGTCCGGTGAGACATTCATCCACAGTCATATGAGAGCTGGATTGTAAAGAAATTGCAATCCCTGGACCAACTCTTCCCATACATCCTGTACCACAAAGCGTACGAAACAGGCGAAAACATGGAGTACTTCAGATACATGTTTACTTGAATATATTATATATTATAAGCAATCCTACACTTGGACACTCAGGCCAAAAGGAGCGACTCAATGTAGGCTTGCAAGCAGGGGCGGACTGGGACTAAAAATCAGCCCGGGAAACTCGAACGGCCGACCGGCCCAACTCGGTACCGCTAGTCAATTGTCAACGGGGTGGGGGGGAATATGACTTTCCATATTTAACGCATCCACTCCCGACTTTGAGAGAGCAGAGGAGCGTCGACCGTTAAGAGTCTCTCTCATCACCTCCACAGCGTAAGACTGTTTCTGTCACTGTCGAAGAACCACAACTAAACCTCATTGGTAGAAAATGTGAATATCCAGGGTTTTCACAATTCTACAAGTATAGATATGGCAGGTTAGGGCCCTAAAGATTATAATAGTGCATGTGGTAATTACCTGAAAATCAGCCTTAACAAATGTGTGTGAAATGATTATATTCTTGTACATTTTATAAATTAAACTGATTGACCCCCAAATAAAAAAAAGTGTAAAATTGTTATTTCAAGTACTTGTATAGATATGTTAAATATTTGATGGGGTCAAAGATAATAGGAGGAATAAGAGATTTTATGTTGAGTTGACACGGCTTTAGTGCATGTCCACAGTGTGTGTGAATTTGGTCCATAATGTTGACAGTATGTGAGGTACAGCTATGTCTTACAAGCTACTTTTAATAATTAAACTCTGGTTGTCTTTTTCCCCTGACCCTTTTTTAATGATTGTTTAGATAAAGTAGCTCTTGAAATTATCTTTTCAATACCAACTAAGCAACGTTGTTTATCAGTGAACCTTTGCACTGATCTTCTGTTCACTCTTTTATCAGCTTGTGAGCATGAACATCGCACACTGTCAGACTTCAGTTTATGATGTATTGTAAGAGGGAGTGTTTTGGTCTTAGTTTATTATTCTGCCTCTAAATCCTCTGTTAATCTAGAAGCCTTTGTAACACAGTTATGATGTCAAAAGTCAATCGGGGTGATTGACTTTTAACATCATTTGATACTCAGACATTGTCACAAGCTTAGTCACGTGATCAACATGTTGAAATATTTGGACATAATTTCTTTTATCTGAAGTTGAACTTTACTCCCCCCCCATTACTCAGTAAATACAAATTGAAGCCAATTTGTCAACTGCAGCCCTGTGATGTGAAAACCTGAAATGACTTTTCACCGAATTAGGAGACATCTTGTAACTAGTTATTTTTTCATATTCTTAGAATTGGAGGTAGATGTCATTTTAACTTCCTTTTTTGTTGAAACACCATAACTGGTGAATCCTTTAAGCCAGCTTTATACATTTAGTTGCCAGTGTACCTAGCTAATGCAGTCTAATACACCTGCAATAAATCCCACCTTCAGGAAAGTTATAATGCTTTAACTGTAGGGTCATTTTGGAGGCTGGAGTCTGTGATGCTGTTGGATTGTATTGTGTGATGTTTCTGTTATTTTGTCCTCCCTTTTTACATGCCTGGTGGAAGGTTAACAAATACCTCTCAGTATAACACTGAGAGTTCAACAGCAGCCTAAACTTCTCTGAAACAAAAACACTTTCATGAAGGTAACATTTACTGTAAGACTGTTATAGAAGAGTGCATTAGCTTTAGCTAGCAACTGAGAGGATGTTCTCAAAACACGTCTGGAGGGGTATTTCTTTAGAAAAAGGGACTTATTTCTGGCACAAAACAGCCAGTGAATCAGAAATAACGCCAGAAAATTCATTGGAACATCAGTACTGTTGTGGTTAGCAAAGCAATGGGATGCATTCCACTCTCTCTGTTATTCGTTAAATAAAGATTGTCAGCACTAGATTAATATTAGTGTAAGCAGAATCATACACCTGACAACTCAGAGTGAACATGTGGAATAAATAGTGAAGCAGCTGAGGTCGGCAGAAAACGAGAATCAAGCGCTGCGTTCTGACAAAACAGACGCCAAGTTCAGAAACCACACAGGAACCCTTTGGGCCAGAAGACAGCGAGGGTGTGTCGTTATGTAAAACATCTGGAAGATTCCATCAACACAACACACTCATCCAAGCAGCAGTTACTTTAAAAATGAATTTATTTATTAATACAGTGGTATACTTAGAAATGTGTTGCAAAGGAAAACAAAAGAAGTTGAACCGAATAAAAATAAAAATAAATAAAAATAAATGTCAGCCACACGGGAAATAAACTAGTGTTGGGTTGAAGCAGTGTTATCATATCAAAAGAAAGTAGTACCGATGTGCCATAATAAATTGTCTATTAGTACAAAAATACATTTCAGGGCACACAATACAGCATCCAGTATCACAAATAAAGGGAGGGACCACTCTTCACAGCAGACCCCCTCAAGTACATCTTTTAAAATCATTTAAACCAAGCACTTCTCTATTTTGTAAATAAGAATAAAAAGTTTTCTGACTGTTTAAAAATGCCTTAAGTAGTGTGTGTATATGTTGGTAGAAAAGTCAGACTTATTACTGCTTATGTCAGTTCCAAGGCTCAGGGGTATAACCAGAATACAAACATAACCAATGTAACCGCTTTCTCTTTTTTTAAACAAACGTTTTCTCTTTTATACAAAATAACAAAGATGTACAAAAGTTCATTTACAGAGAACCAAGGCCATATACTAGCAATATGTACAGCCACAATTTAAACATCTTCTAGCCTTTTGTATTTCCTCAGACTTCATATGCATAGCAGTAAAAGAAAGCATACCTTTTCATCAGCCTCAATTATTCTCGTGTGCTAAATCCAAGTTCACCGTTTATGAGAAAATGCAGAGACAACTTTATCTTCCGTAGTGATCGCTATAACTGAAGGATCCGATGTTTTTAAAGTTTCACTGAAAAGTTAATATGCAGATAAGGCATCACTGCTTGCAGTGTACGATGGGATTTTCATGTGTTGAACTTAGTAGTAGCAGGCTTCTGGACCTGAGTCATAGCACATGCATAGATCTCTAGACAGCAGGAGTTTGTAAAATCAAGTCAGTATATTTATCTACGGTAAAACATTGCTACAAAACATCAGTTTAAACAGAGAGAGCCTCGTCAGAACCGACGGGCGTCTCAGACTAATACTTAACCTTCATTCTTCTTTATTATTATTTTTTTTCCTTCATGAGTCAGGCTCAGCATTTCTCAAGTCCTCAGAGATCCTTCACGAGTGAAACGCATGACCACATAACTCACAAACAAAAGTTTTGCATATACTAACTTTGCTGTTTGTGAGTGTTTCTTTTTTTTTTTTTTACAGTATGGAAAAAATCCCATTGCAATATTAAATGAGTTTCCAAAATTCTCCTTTCTCTTGCACTGCTCTGACCTTTTACAAAATTAGCTAAAAATGTCAAAACGAGAGTATTCAGTCTGTGGCACGGGTCATGCATTCCAACTTCAGTTCCTTTAAATAACTTGTTTTTAATCTTCATTTTTTGCAAGCCTTGAAAGCACCGGGGGAGAAAAACAAAGTAAAGAACAAGAGTACAGCGTTGGGGGTGCTGGACTCCTTCTTGTGTAGTGTTTTCTTTTTTTCTTAATTTTTGGGCACAGTAAACAACGTGAGAGTGTCAGGTTGGTACTTCATCGGGCCCCCCCCCCCCGTGGAGAGGGAGCACGGCAGGGGGAACTGCGCTCCTCTGTTTTCACATTCAGTAACAGGCCAGCTGTCGCCCTCTTCAGAAGTGGTCAATGAGCACTGACACACAGTTTGCACCCACCAGGTAGTTGGGGTCTCCGGGGAGAGATTTGTTCTGCCAGGTTTTGGGATCACCTGCAGGGAAACAGAGACATGATGTCAGCCGCTGGAGGAACTGCTTTACTCTTTCAATAACAGATAAAATACACAGAAGATGCTCGAAACACACATTTGAGGATGAGTGAATGCATACATTAATGCAGGAAATGAAATCCCTTTGCTCATCATGACTTCATGTAATCACTTGATGCTTAATGGACCATTTAATGAATGTTAACTCAGTTACTTCATGCATGTTTATATGCTTCCAAATGAGTTGGATTCAAGTTACAGAGTCTGGTTAGCTTTTGTAAAAGCACCAAACTACCAGTTCTCATAGAAATGTGTTTTTCTGGTGGTCAGACGTGAAATTCTACATGTAGTGTCATCTTTCATGAGGCGGACGGCTTCAGGCTTTTTTCTCCTTAAGTCCTTTCCTACAGTAACTTTAGTTCTGAGTCATCTGAGCAGCAGGTTTTGACAAGCAAGAAGAATGTATAGAGCGTTGTCTCTGCAAACATGTTTGAAGTTCTTTTAGTTTTATTTTAGTCAAAAAAATGTATAGGATTGCAAAGCTGAAACAGTGGAGAGAAATAATGAAAATAAATTATTGTTACTATTACATTATTATTGTCAAGATTGTTTTATCCATTCATAAGGAAAAGCTATTCTTAAAACCCAACACCATTTAACAGAATGTTGCTCCTCAAAATAATTGATTTGCATGTTTAAGAATAGTCATTAATTTCATCACCAGTTGTACTTCTGATGATTGTAGCAGAAATGGAGGATTTTGGACCGTATGTGATGCAATGTAGCTTGAGAGAGGTCAGTCGAAATTACTTTAAAATAGTTGAAACATTTTCTGTGACTGACTCAAATCTATTAATCCGCTTAATGTTTTTTCTATGCAGAAGCCCAAGGGTTAAATAAACAAGGCGCCTCATTTCACAAGCAAAAAAATAAGAAAACTCAAATCTCCAAACAGCACATGCATGAAGAAGAAGTGAGGGGAATATGGAAAACAAATGAGTGATTCAAATGAGTCGGTCACTGAAAAACTTTCGTCTATAATCACAAAAGCCAGCCCAAAGACCCCAGAAGGACAGAGGACAGCGTACCCGACGAGGAGTCGGAGGATTTTAGAGCAAAAGACCAACCATCAGGGGTCATAGACGCACAGTGAGGGAGGCGCAGCTCCACCGGCTTCAGGAACTTGAGTCCATGCGGGCCACACATCACCAGTGGACTTAGCAGCGTTTCTCCTGCAGGACACAACAAGATTTAAATTCCACAAACATGCAGGATTTAATCAGCACGCAGGATTATTTACGAGCCAATCAGGAGGCGACATGGAGACGGCTGCCAGGCCTTCTTGACTGAGAATGAACTGTTAACTGACCCGCCAGGTTAATTACATTATCATACTCCCCTGCTGCTTAATGGTAATTTTTAAAAGTCCTCTAAATATATCTCCTGGCAAGGATGTTATTTTATTTAAGAGCTTTTTTTAATTACATAACTACAGTCTTGCAGATAAATCAGCAATGTATTCAGTACCATCTCTTTAGGGCTTTTAGCTTCATACTACTTCTCATAAAGACAGAGTTCTATGTTTGTTTAATTATACAGCAGCATCGATGTAAAGTGTAAACATAATATATAATGTCGAAATTCATTAGAAAAAACATGCATGGAGCCAAATATACATTCAATTAAATGTAGTTTTTTCTCTGAGATGCAGTGACTGTTTCTAGGACGTAAGGAGGACTCACCTTTCTCCTTGTCGAGGGGGGGCAGGATGCTGTTGTCCCGGCACACCTTGAAGTAGATCTCCTGCTCCACGCTCTCGGGGATGGCCCCCTGGGGGATAATGATGCTGACGCCCGTCTCGATGGAGCTCAGGACCCCTCCGTTACAGTTGAAGATCCCCCGGGCGGTGGCCACCACGGTGTGTCCTTCATCCTCGTCGTCATCGTCCAGCGTGCTGGGGCTGAGGGACGGAGGCACACAAGTCAGCATCATCACTCATAAATGCGTAGGCAGAGAGTAATGCACAGCAGGGGACGAGAGGACGGACCCCCTGTGGACAAACACGTGTCTCTCTCTGTCTTTCAGCGGCTCAGTAGTCCCCCTGCTCATATTGGATGTGAAAGTGTACAGTCTCACCTTACAGGGATGGCCTTGGGGATGGCGTTGATGTTATTGTGCTGGTATTTGGGCCTGTTGTCCATGGTGCGGGTGAAGGTGTCCAGGCCGCTGTCGTGGTCCAGAGGCTGGGGGGACAGCTGGGGCTTCCCCCCGCTGTTGCCCACCATCCCGATGAGCTCCGTCTTCAGCTGGGTGTCGTTGGGCAGCAGGTTGTGGTTGAACTTGGGGCTCTCAAACTTGCGCTCAAAGGGCCGCGCCGTGCTGGTGTACGGCTTGGGGACGTAGCGGTTGTAGCTAGTCGGAGCGTGACCGCCCAGGGTCTTTGGCGGTGCTGTGTCAGTGCCGTTGACCGGGGGTTTGTCGGGGAGGCCCCTCGGGGGCAGGTAGCCCCCCGGTGCTGGCTCGTCCCTGCTGGGCGGCCGCAGCGCCGGTAGCTCAGGTTTAGGGATGGGGGAGGTCAACGGCTCCGGTATGGAGTTCACTGGATCAAGGAGGATACAGTCACTTAAATATAGTCTTTGTTAATCTATTATATCCTTGCACTGTAGAATTTCAATTTTAAGCTTTTCATTTAAGTTACAGTAAGCACAATAAAACTGTGTTGTTACATTTACAACATTGCATTATAATTTATCCTTTTTTCAATAAATAAAAAAAATAAATGTCTCAGTGTAGTGTCTTATCATTTAGCTTTGACCTAAGAATAAATGAAAGCTGTATAACTAATTGTGAAGAACATTTTATAGACAAAAAGAACAATTGTGTGAGCTTACCCTCGTTGGGGCTGAGCTTGGGCAGTGTGTTGGGCGGGATGGCGGACGCGGGGGGGGCCGTACTGTGATGACGGGCTGATTATGGGCAGGGGTTCATATCTTTTCTCCACTGGACTTACTTTCTCTGCAGACTCAACTCTGCAACAGGCAGACACAAAGAAGACGGTTAACCAAACATTAAAAGGTGTGCAGCGGGTGTGTCTCCAGGACTCTTCAGTGCTGGCAGGAGGCGCGGCTCTACCTGTTGTATGGGTAGGACAGCTGAGCTGGTTTGGGAAGGTCGTGGAAGCGGTTGATGCCAGGGCTGGGTTGGCCCATGGCCTTGCTGTCGAAGCTACGGCGGTCAAAGTATGACAACTGCTTCCTGTAGTACTCCTCATCCTCATCTGGGTCATAGTGGTTGGAACGCATCATGTCATCCAGGGGTTTATTAGTGTGGGGCTTCTGTGGCTCAGGGGCTCTGAAGAGGGAGAGAGACAAGTCAAACAGCTGCAGAGACTCAAACAACAGGGACGGACAGCGGGGTCTGGCCTAAAGCCCGCTAGACAATGTTTCGGTGGAATATATCCTGATTGTCATTTCAGCCTAAATGTTGGTAACAATTTATGAAATATGTCTGAAAACCATCTGGACATCGCAGACAGAGTGAGGAGCTCAGGTCTGTAACAAGACTGGTGTCGAGCTTCTCACAGCAGGGAGCAATGAGGTTCACAATGATCCTGCTAACATGCAGAACTGGTCATCTTGGTAGAAACTGCTGTCAGTTAGCCTATTTTTCTTCTCCTCAACGGTAAAAAGTCTTGAGGAAAAGATACCGTGGTGCTAAGAAAATCCATTGAATTTATTTAAGACAATTAAATATTAGTACAGTAAAAACTCAACGCTGTATGATTCAAGAAATTCTTCCTATAAAATACAGAATCACACCTAAATTAATCCACAATGCTCAATCATGAAATGGTACTACTAAAAAGTGACAGCAGATGTTATTGACTGCCGGATGGTGTGTAGTTTTAAATGCTGCAAGGAATTGTGTGTTGGTTTTATCTCCTTTTCTTTGGTAAAGTGTGGTCCAGTGTATTCTATGCTAAAAGTGATAAGAAAGTAGACATTGAAGGACATTTCCTTAGCATTCAGAGAATTTGACCAGCTCTTATCATGGCTGCCACTTAGTTACTTTCGGGTCATTTCACTCAGTTAAGATTTTCTGATCTCAAAGACTATTTGCCCACAGCACTGGCCTTTGCATGTGTTTTTTTGTCTTTGCACACCACACCAGAGTCTGGCCTGCTGCACAGCGCCTTGTGTCCACTAGGTGGAGCTCAAACAACGAGCCTTTGCAGGATCTGAAGTGTCCTTCAGCCTCCTCTGCAGCCGGGGGTGTTGTGAGGACTCTTACCTATAGGTGCTTTTCTCCTGCTCCAGGTTGCTGAGGGAGTTGGCTTTGAGGACTGGGCCAGGTGCACTCACAGGTTTAGGAACATCTGCAGGCTGGAAAGCAAAGGTCTCTTTAGTTCTTCTTGCATCTGATCCAGAGTTCTGTTCACATGAATGAATTGCATGCACACGGATATGTAGCACTGTGCCTGACATCTCACAGGCCAGACGATCAAAAAGCAGACGCTTTTCTCACAAAAACAAGCTTGCAGTTTCAAGTCTTGCATTTCTGCAGTTTTTTTGACTGATGCAGCTGCTGAAAAATAATGTGGCCTCTGTGGAGTTTTCTCGGTTTCGCGTGCTGCTTTTCAAATACTTGCTTATCCAAGAACACATTTTTAAACCTCTGTTACAGCTAATGAATGCTCCAATTTAACATTTAGCCTAACATGACCCACCTTGTACCAGGCACTACTGGTAAATATATATTGAGTATAAGTACGGTCCTTAGTTATAGTTTAACTAATAGTTTAACTAAGTATAGTATAGTAACTAGTTTTAGTTCAGGTCATAGCTTAGATTTGAGCTATCTTTTTTTATTTTCCTATGTCTTTATCTACCTCCTTGAGTACGACTTGCCTGTCTCTTACTACCCTATTTTTTTCCTTTAGCAATGTTTGTAACTGTAATGTTACCTTAGAGTTGTAAATAGAGTAGCAAGGGGGGGTAAACCTCTTGATCAGTCTATCAACAAAGAAGGATCTCAAACTGTTTTGATTATCAATTAATTACTTAAATAGTTTGTCATCCAACAAACGGCACAAACTGCTGTTTTCAGGCTCTAAAATATGCTTTTTTTTTAATATCATATTTACCTAGATATTTTTGGGTTTCGGACAAAACAAGACATTTCAAGACAACACCTTGGACTGCGATGGACATTTGTAACTATTTTCTGAGTTTTCGTAGACCAAACCACTTATCAATTAATCTAGAAAACAATTCAAGGATTCATTGCTACTGAAACATTATCATTAGTTGCAGTATTAGTGTAGAATGTAGAGTTATTACATGACTTGGTCTACCACCTAAATACATTCACACCAATAGAATAAATAGCATATGTGTGATTGATTGTGTGTGAGGATTTTACCCTGAGTGCTGATTCTAGTCCTTCTTTAGCGCGGTCCATGGACACAGACCGTTTATTCTCAAACATCTTCACTCTGTTCAGCACCGACTGCGGCTTCATGGCCGGGTCATCTTCCAGGTCTTCCCTCAGCGGAGGAGGGAGGGGTTTGGAGCCGGGAGTGGTCGCTGGCTCACCTGGGGAGGGCAGGGTCTCCGATATATGGGGGGGAAGTGGAGGTTCGGAGTTCATCATAGGGTCGTGCATCCCCTGCTTGAAGCCCCTGCTTGGAGGCCCGGGAGTGTAGGCGGGCCTCAGACCAGAGTCACTGTAATACTGCTTGGGGGGCTCCGGCGATCGGGGTGAGTTAATCGGGAAGCAGTGTGGTTCTGCATCGTAAGGAGAGCGGGCGTCATAGCCAGCAGGGGGAGGGGGTGGGGGCTCGTCGTAACGAATGGGCCCGGGTTTACTGTGGCGGCGTCTACCATCGTAGCCCACTGGTGGGGCCTCATCGTAGCGCGGCTGAGGGGGGCTGTAGTCCCGCCCTGGACAGTCGTCAAAGGGGGAGCGGGGGCTGTAGGCCATGGGTTGCTGGTGGCCCGGCTGGTACCCCCCCCCGGGCTGGGACGAGGTCTGCTGGTCGTAGGGGGGCCACTGCTCGTTGTAATGAGGCACACGGTTGTCGTAGTGCAGGTGAGAGTCAGAGTTGTGAGGCTTTGGTTCTGTGTAGCCGCCGCCGTCGTATCCGTAAGGCGGGTGGTCGTATTCACGGTATGGCTGTTTGTCCTGGTACGGCGGCTGGTGACTGTAGCTCAGAGACTGCTTCAGGCCATGGTTGATTCGCACGGGGTCCTCCATATTGTACAGATCTTTCTTGTACATCTGTGAAGAAACAACACTGAATTAACACACACACTACATCATCATCATGTCGAGGTTTCAGCAAATCACCATGATGGAGGACAGAAAGCACTCAGAGAACAATAGTTTCCCAACACCAGATTACAAATAATTTCAAGATGAATAGTTCAATATAAACTGAAACCTTGAAGAACTGAAGATGTGAAACAATAACCAAATCATTAGAAAATAAAATCCTCAAACCATTAAATTAAGCAAACATCAATTCAAAGTGCAATTACACAAGCAAACCCTTGTCCATTGTTCAAAAACTGTTCTGAATGCCTGTTTGACAAGATGCCTCTCAAGAATGATAATAATCCATGTGGACACGTCTTGGTTTTACACATTAACACATTTATAAATAGTAAACTAACAAGCAATTTGCACATTTCTGAGAGGCCTCATTTCAAACATATGATGTGTAGCCTGTAGACAGCAAATATAGTTACAGTACTTCCTATGGAAGAGTGTTGATTTGTTGGCATCATATCCGGACGAAACGACTCAACAGAAGACACAATGCAGTGTGCTGATGTAAGTTTGTTATTCCGTGGGGAGAATTGCTTGAGGGAAATCATTACCAAGAGTACTGTCTGCAGGTTAGCGTTCATCATGCAACCAACATTCAATTTGCATCTAATGCAACGTCAAACTACAACAGATGACACATCTACCATTACGATGCCAATGTAAGTGCTACTATCGTTTATCTACAGAAGAGAGTTAAAGCTGAAAGGAACCCAAAAACATTAGGAGCCATGCAAAGGAAGTAAGAGCAACAGTTAGGGCTGGCTGTGGATGTCTTCACCCGCGTCAGAGACTCAGATGCCCCAGTCCTTCTGGTCTCCCAGCCCACTGTGGTGCATGTGGACAAGTCTGTCGCACATCTTCTGGGAGCCAGAGGCACACAGTGGGCTCAGTGAGGCACACAGTGTGGGCGTGTCATGCAGAGAGCAAGTGGAAAGCATGTGCGAGAAGACAGGCAGTTAAAACAGCAGGCTGGGGCCCAGGCCCGGTCCGAGTGGCTGGTGAAACAGCGGGTACCTTTGTTTCTGGACCAGACTGGTGGGGTTCAATAAGCTCAGGGGCAGAGCTGGGGCTGCTAAGTGAGTCAGCCTGAGGAGCTGCGGCTGCAGCAGGCGGCTCCTCGAGGTGCAAACCCTCAATCTGTATAGACTGCTCAACAGCAGGGGGCGCTACCACCGTCTGAGCAGCCTCCTCTTGCTGTGAAGTATTGTTAAGAGACATTTATAACACAGCCTGCATACACAGTACCGCTCACCCCAACACAGACCTTTTTACTTACACTGAATCAGTTTTACACCAGCCAGAGAATGTGGTTAGATGATAACATACCAGTAGCTTCTAAAACAGGTACAAAAACTTAGCAAAGGACATTTAATCTTAACAAAGGTCAGGACACAACACTGAACACAAAGAGCGATTCCTCAGTGCTGCAGTACTTAAAGCCATTCATCCTTCTCTGAGGAGCACAGCCTGCAAAGCTAGAAATGAACTTTACCTGCTGTGGAGCGGCCATCTTGAAGCCAGCAGGGTCTATGCGGCTGGCTGGGTCGGGCTGCACAGGGTGCTGGTATCCAGGGTAACCAGGGGTGTCCTGAATCACGGGCGGGTCTTCTCGCACGGGCTCTGAAGAGCGGGTGATGGCGGGCTCCGTGGGCAGACCCACCTCGTCGTTCAGAGTCTCGTCCAGCTCCTGGTCCGTGTACGCCCCGCCCTCCGTGTCCGTGTCCTCGTAGTCTGAGGTGTGGCGGCTGTCGGTGCTGTACATGGAGTACTCACTGCCCGGGGCCGACAGGTAGGACAGGCGGTCGTCATGGATGTCTAAGTCGTCCTCTGTAGTGCCATCAGCCTGAGAAAAGCAAAGAAATGATCATCCCATGTGTGACTCAGTTACACTAAAAGAATGATAGAAATATTGCTCATTAAAATAAAATATAAAAAGGGTCTCTCACCTTGCCCTCTGACACCCACACCAGCTGGTTCTGCTGCTGCTGGGTCGTTTCTTTCAGAGCTCCGTACCAGCCATCGTTCATATTGTTCATGTTGATGGTGGCTAAAAGAGAATATTTTCAAATGAAACCACAGTCACTTCCTGAAGAATAAGATTTAAGAGCAAAAGAGACAGTTTGCATATTGAATGTTCTGTGTTTGAACTCTCTGCACACTCACTGGTGAACAGGTGGTGATTATTCTTCCTCAGTTTGAGGGCTCTCTCATAGAGCTTCCTGGCGCTCTTCCTGGACTCTGAACACAGTCTGGTCCTCATGTTCTTCACGCCCTGCTTAGTGTCAGGGTTAAGGAAGACTACAATCGGGTACCACTGAGCATAGTTCAGCCTGTCCACAGCATTCGGGGTGATGTCCAGGACAGCATGTTTGTCCTTCATGAGGAAAACAATAGGGATATATCAGTGACAAAAAAATCAAAGCTATGATGCATTTCATATGTAGAGGAGGCCTACTCACTCTGTCAATTATCTGCTTGATGGTGTGAAGACGAATGATTCCTGAACTGCGTTGGTCTGTTCCTGCATCTCTCGGTTCACTCTCTGAAAACAAGGTTGAAGAGATTTAAGAAAGTTACTCGAAGATGTAGTCAGTTGATGTTATACATATAATGTATGTGCAGTATAATGCATGCAAACATACTGGCAAGCTCAAAAAGATCGGGCTCTTCTCTCGCGACTTTTTCTCGGGCAACATCAGCGATCGGGCCAAATATCACCACAGGTCTCAGGAAACCAGCTGCACAGAAATATTAAAATATGAACAGACTGAGCTATCATTTCAAGTTGACATATAGGCCATTGGACATTGATCAATTCCTCACCCTCTCTCAGAACGACCCTTTCATAAGCCGGGAACTTTGTTTGGACTGGCTGTGAGGAGAGGTCCTCCCGGCTCTTCCTCAGGTTCCTCTTGGAGCTGCGAAGACCACGAAACCTCCAGAAGTCGGCCCTGTCGCCCCCTGCTGTTTTAGGAAGAGTGTACTGCACACTGGACAGCTGCTCCGCTCTGTTGACAAACAGATGTATTATAACAAAAGCTAATGGATGTGTCATACAATTGCGATTAACCAAATACACTAGATGGCAATGATAATATTAACATGTTTATCATAAATAAGGTAAATTACTGACTGGTGTAGGGCTGTACTACTACGATTTTTTTTTAATGTTTTTAAAATATTTTTAGACTGCAGTCAAAAATTAGGGCTTTAAAGGATAAACTGTTTTTTTTTTTATATATATCTGTTGTAATTTATTGTCTTTTATTGTGATTGTAGTAATGTGTTTTTATTACATGTACAGCACTTTGGCTCGACCAAAAATCGCTTTTAAATGTGCTTTATAAATAAAACTTGATTTGATAAACGCCAACAAATATGTATTGCAGTAAATTAAATTAAGTCTAACACATCATATTCATTTTTTTTATATACTTGACTGACAATGCTGTTTTTCACACAAGGTGTTAACAATCCTACACAAACTCTACTGGAATCTAATTCTGCCCATTTGATAATATTTATAACACAAGTCTACCCTCTGCAACTGTACAGAAATAGCGGGCTTATAAAGAATAAACAGACGGAAAAAAGAAGAAGATAATGCTGCATTCAAATGTTGATTTATAATTCAATAACCACATAATGAATAAGTCTTTCAACTATTTGGTGCAGCCTACATGCACATCACTGTTTGAGATAATTGACAAACAATTCAAACTAAAGCTCATAAACACGTCTGTCTGGACGCCCCTACCTGTTTTTGTTGGGGATGATCCCCCTCTCCACCTCTTGGTGGTTCTTTCCGATGCGAATAGCAAGCCAGGAGCCCAGCTTCCCGTTGTAGAGGGTGTCCACCACACGAAACACCTCTCCCTTGTTGAAACTCAACCCATACGGAGATTCCTTCTCGTACTCAAAGTGCGTCCGGATGTAGAAGGAGTCACCGACATCTGACTCAACGATCCGTCTGTACACTGAACAGAATAAATCGAGTCAAAAACCTCTGGCCACTGTGACCAACAACCCAGTCATCTCTCGCCTCATCTCCTTACTCACTTCACTTACCATCTTTCTTCTTCTGGGCTAGAATAGTGACCTCTTCACCCTTAGGAAGGTCAAGGAGGAACAGCACCGCCTCCTCTCGGATTATGTTTGCAAAATCTACATTATTTACCTGGAATTGAGGAAAACAGAGGTTACTGCATTAAGCTTTCCTCAGAACAGTGTAGTACTATTAAGTGAAGAAGTAGTTTCATTGTTCAAAGCCTGCTTGACAGGAGGTGTGAATCTCTAAGTTGATAAAGGTTTACATAGCTCTTCCTGTTCTCAGTATTGCCTAGGTAACTGCAGGTTTTACTGCACTGCAAGAACTCAAACTATTCCTCTTTGTACTTGTAGAAAGGAGGAGGAGGTACAAACAGTAAGATATATGGCTTTAAGGAAATGGGACAAACACAGCTAGAGGAAACAGTTTTTTTTGTGTGTGCTCCCTCTGGGTCATTGCTAAGAGACCGGCCTGAAGGTACAGGCATTTTTAAGCACCCAGTGTTTTAAACCATGAATATAGGGTGTAGGAGAGGAACATAGAAATAGTTTTTGACATTTCAATCTCAATTTAACAACACCTTCATTCACAAACAACCACTTGATTTCAGGCGGTCAGGTCATACCCTTGCTTTGTTAAATCATAAAGTATCTCACCCTGAGAATTTGGTCGCCCTCCTCCAGGCCCTCCTTAGCAGCTGGGCTATCCTCCAGCACGCCGGCTACGAAGATGCCCACGTCGTTCCCCCCCGCCAGACGCAGCCCCACACTCTCCCCCTTCTTAAACTTCACCAGCTTCATGCTTGGCCTGAGGAAAGGGGATAAAGACAATACTTAAGCTTATTTATTTCAACATGACACCATTTGCTGGCATTTCCCTCTTTTCAATGTAAACCTCCATTTATGTCATCGTTGAGTGACTCTTGGATGCCCTCCAGATTTCTCTTTTGTTGACTTTATTTAGTCTTCAGTGAGCGTACAGAAGCATAGATGTAAAATTGTTCTGTAGAAAGAGAGGGAAACATTCCTACAGGGCATTTGAATATCATTTAACAGTTTTGCTGTAGACAGAAGTAGCCACAGTAAACCGTTTCTCTCACGCACAAACATTGTGCATCCAGCCATAATAAAAGCTGCTTATTCAACTTGCCAACAAACCCGTGTGTGCAGAAAAACACATTTCTTAACAGCATTGAACTCTATGCCTTGGGCAGCCAAAATGCTTTGTGCAGACAACTGAGGGAGCATTTAGGAAACTGAAAGAGCTGCTCCAAGATGTGTGCTGTGGTTTGCCCTGCAGTCACGATTCCTTCCTCACAATTGCCTTTTTGTATTAAGTCAACAGAGGCTGATGGAAGGAGGCACTCACAAATGCCACATATCAGGAGACTTTAATGGTTACCATATTATACTGTTAATATTACCGTAGGATGCCATCGTCATGGGTAGCGCTTGGCACGGGGGCATCAGAGGGGCTGACTGGCAGGTCAACATCTGGCTGTCCAGGCTGAGCATACACAGGCTTTGGCTCTGAATACAAAAAAAACCACAAACTTCATTTATCACTGCAGACAGATGATAAACATGTTAAACTGCACCAAACATGCTTAAAACAAAAGATATACTCCTTGAAACACAGTTGAAACAATACTGCAGACACACATGTTAAAGTCAGAAGAAGTGCATTAATGAAGTGTTTGAAGCAGGCAGTGTTATCGCACAGACGCTTGCACACAAATCCGCTGGAGGCACAGAGTGTCCTGAGCGCGGAGGTCGAACAGAAAGGCAGCAGAGTGCTGCAGGCTGAGAGGAACGTCAGACTCGATCAACTCATACGGTTTATTTTCCCTTGGCTCCGGGCGAACTCAGCCAGGCTCAGCAGGCGATTGGATCCAACTTTTATTTTTCTCTAGTCGTGCTTTTAAAAAGGGCAAAAATGACTGGTTCAAACAAGACTTCATTTTATAATGAAATAAATAAATGTTCTGCTGCTCATGAAGGACAGGGAAAACCAGGCTACATGTTGCATTTGCTCACAAGCCACAACAATACAGAATGTAAGGATGTACGGACTCGTCTATGAGTTCATTATTTTTTTTACAAATTATTTATTTACATAGTGTTATTCTGTCAGGTATATTTTTGTGTTTGTCCTCTGGCAAATGTCCTTGTTAGTTTTAACCATATTAAGTCTACCTTATTCTCTTTTTGCCAAGGTCAGCTGACCAAAAGTATGAGCATTTCAGTGTTATCTTAGTCAAAGAAAACCACCACTATTTTTGTACATTTTTAGTCAATTAAAACATTTTTGTCTATTTTAAGTCATCAGATCACTAGCCTAAAATATCCCCTTGTTTCTTTATCCTAAGGCCTTTTATCATCTCTGTTAACTTGAATAAGTTACTTGGAGTGAGTTCTAATGATATGGTGCAAGATGTACAGGAAACAACAGTTTATAATTGTTCGTTTTTTTATCAACAAAATAAAAGATCTTTCACATTCCTTGAAAAAAAGGTAATTGACAAACATATTTCGTTCAAGTACACAAACGAATCACATTTAAATGCAGATTCTTCTCTCACGGACCTGGGAGTGGAGGAAGTTGTTTCTCCTCTCTAGCAGCGGCCGCCTCCTTGGGTTTGGGCAGAGGAACCTCCTCCGGGAGCTTCACTGGGGTTGAAGACGGCTTCGAGATTCGTTCGTCATCACGACTTCTGTGACTGCTACAGAAATAGATGTTTTTGTACAATTTATCTTTAGAAAAGGAATATGTGAGATTATAAATAGTGTATTCTGCAGATGTAGAGCTCGGAGGCAGGAGGAGAACTTTAAGGCTACATCTCGACTACAAGCAACAAAACTACAGCTGAACACCACTCAAACACAAAACCTGAGATGAGTTCAATTCTCTCCTGACTGCAGTGGACACGCACTAGCTGAGAAAGAAAAATATTATCTTAGTCTTGAAGGTCACTACTTTGTCAGTTCACTCTTTTATGCTCTGTTTTACAGCAGCTTATCTGAGGGATTCTGTCCTCCAGGTGAATTTCACTGTTTGGCTTTGGCTGTAAACCAGCACAGGTTTGACTTTGATGCCAGTTAAAAAAAAAATAGAAAACAGTCAGGCTGCGTAAACTGTAACTCACAGTGACCCCGGCCAATTGCGTGTGAGTAAATGATGATAGAATTTCCCCGTGTTTTGATAAATGCAGTTTCCCGATGTGTTTCAAATGAGAAATCAGACGGGAAATGAAGTAAGCAGAGCAGGATCTAAGGCTCTCACCTCCTGCTCACTGGCACAACTTCACTGGCAAAACACTGCTTTAATTGTGATTAGGTAACAATCCGGTTTGAACCGGCTGCAAAGCGACACATCCCTTTTTAAACCCCTCCAGGAGGAGGCCCTACTTTTAACAGCCAACTTCCTGAACTGAAAGAAAAGGTCACAGGTCACTGATTCACGTTCAAATAAATAATAACATCCTGTCCTAACTAATCCTTCCTGTTCATTAACATAATCGATTAATATTCGCCAGGGCTGTCCGATTTTCGAATTTGATCATGGTCAGTTTCTGGCATCCCTAATATTCATAAATGTGAACAGTGCCCAAAAATACAATCTTTTCAACCAAATGTGGCCAGACATCCACAGATATAAAGAAAATCCTACAAAAGCTCAGCCACATGGAAAAGGGATGACAGTTGACACTAATAGCTGCTGACGGGCCTTTGTTCCTCTCCTGTTGGAGCCATGTTGTCTTTGTGCCAAACGTGTGGTTTGCCTACCAAAACATTAAGAGACACGAGGATCCTATGACACTTCCACCGGACTCTATCATCTCAAGTCAAAACAAGACACCTCCCTGAATAATTGATGATGAAAATTATCAGCATTATTATGAAGTAACATCTTTACTAAACATTTCTGCCAAGAAAATCTGTGAAATCTGTGACTCTGAAACCCCCTCAACTAAAACTAGATCTACATGTCTATTAATCTACATTAATTCTATCCAGGATTTACTACCAACACTATAGCTAACTACTCACACGAGTTATGGTGACAAACTTACGGTATTCTCCAGCTGTTAAGGGAATAAAAAGGGCAGACAAATCTCATTTAGTAAGTGTTGGTGAGACTGTACTTTTGCTAATGCCGTTCCCTTTGTTTGGCATACACCATCATCTGAAAGACTTTTCCAGGTACCACATTACACAGAGGATGTTAAAATCTAAACACAAAGTAATTTAGGTTAAGCACTGTACTTTTACACTAAGTAGAGCAGAGCATTGACCATCATTTTGACCAAGGTTGTCTCTCTTTGCAGCTTAGCAGTTGACTTTTATTTTGCTCGGGTCAATAAGCAGTGTGAAAGGGGAACCACTCTGGTGCTCTATTGAGTTTAAATGAAGAATTAATGAGGTTCTTTTAAACAAGGTTACAGTCACAGAAGTGCTGAATGGGCTGATGGCTTTTATTAACCCAAACATAAAATCGAAGGTCCTTCACAACAAAAACAAAGAAGCCTTCTTAATAAACGTTGATAGGTAAAAGCACAAACACAATGACAAAATCAGTTATATGAATAGCTCTTTAAAATAATAATATAACTGACTATAACTACTATAACTATACAAACCATTCATTATTAATAAAATATTAATTAATGAGCCAATTATTTCCTCAACTAATCATTTAGTTTCAAATGTGTCAGAAATGTGTTTCAGCTCTACCTTAAAATATGAAAATGTTTAGTTTTGATCACACGATAGGTCTTTGCTGTTATTAATATAGTTGTGTTAATATTACATCTCTGGTGGTAAAAAATCACATTGCTTGTTTTCTTAACACTTTGATGCCAGATTATGCATTTTCTTCACTTTTTGTGATTTCTTTTTTGTTGAAATCCTAATTATTGTTGCTGCTGTGATGCTACTGTTTTCTGCGCAAACAAGAGATAGATAGTAGCAAAAATAAAGAAGCAAAACTAAAATGACAGATTATGATTCAACACAGTTTTTGTTTCCTCCGTTACAGCTAAGAGACTGAAATATAAATATATATTAATGTATGTTTGTATGGATTTTACCTGCCGTTGCTGATCTGTGGAGGCGAGTGTCGGGAGTGGTCTGAGGGTTCAGATCTTCGGTCTGGAGAGCGCGAGCGGCTGCTACGATGTCTGTCATGCGATCGATTGGAATGGTCGGATGCCAGCGAATGGATATCTGAAATGTCTGATCAAACAAAAGAGACACTGCTCAACGACTGAGATACACACGGAAAAACTGGCTTTTGAGCCGATCCTCATTCCTGCCGAACGCTAACGCCACTCTCACCGTCTCTGTCGGAGGCGTTGGCTGAAGCGAGGCTGTCATCGAGGTCAGGGATGTTCAGCAGGGTCGCCCTGTCGTCCCTCTGAACCACCATTTTTAGTTTGCCCTTTGACCTTTCTATCAGCTTCTTGGCGTCTATCAAGGAGAGGTTCTCTGTCACTGTGCCGTTAATCTGTGGGAGTCAGAGAAAGAAGCTATTAGCCATGACATGACAAAGATATGCAAAATAAGAGAGATCAAATGAAGACTTCCTCACATTTGAATGCAATAAAATGGTGATATAAGAAGTTTAGCTTGAGTTACAAATGCTTTGTGTAAAAGGCACACTGATTTGTCGGAATTAGATCAATGTGTAAGATCAAATATGGGCTGTATTGTAGAACATTTGTAATTCTTTACTTTTATCTTTTGATTAAGCTCTTAAGTGCTAACATGAAATAAGATCACATGACATGTGTTAGAAGGCTGGATGTGAGAAACGATTGGTTCAGGACAGCTACAGTTCAAAAAGAACCTAGTGAACAGAAAAATCCACTTGATACGTTCTCCAAAATGTGAAAGCACTGAGCTACATCAAGCAGGTCAAGCTGCAGCTATACTAATAGTGCTGTTATGCAACATTAGATTGTGAAAATAAATATAAGGAATAAAAAGCACAGCGACTAGAACAGCAGTAACTGTACAAGTAACAATAGAAAAATCCATAAAATAATGTTATTTTAAATTGTTTTGTTCATGTTCAACATCCTATGATCTCTCCATATCAAAATGTTGATCATGCTTCCTGTCTTCCTCACCTTCAGTACCACGTCTCCCTCCTGGATGTTGCCGTCCCTGGCTGCCAGGCTCTCGGGGGAAATGTCCTTGACAAAGATGTGGCTGGCCAGGCGGAGGCCATATTCTGCTTACAAAGTGAACGACAGCAACAAAGAGCATGTTAGCACAGAGTTCACGTGACCACACCGCACTGCCTGCACTTCACTGTCAAGCCGCTGCTCCCGCTGGGATTAACAGTACTGATTAAAGAAGATTAATTGCTCTTTTACTTAGATTTACTTTAGTGAACTTGGATTTTGCTGCGTCTGGCAAGTTGTGTTTACCATGGCAGTTGACCAAGGCTGATTTGGAGGTCTTATTCTCTCCTTAAAGCCGGGCTCTAACAGTGGGGTTAATAAAAGGGAAGGTGACTTCCTTGATTACTTCAGAAAATCTTCTTTGTATTTTAATTTGTAATTATTTGTTTATTTTTTATTAACATTTTTGTCTTTATTTCAGTTTATTTCTTTATTTGTTCTTGTTTTATTTCCCCCCCTTGCACTTATTTAGTAACAAACAATACCATCGGATTAATCTCCCTTTTTATTTATTGTTAATGTGCTCTGTAACCTGTAACTCAATAGGTTGTTAAAGGGGTGTGGCCACATTTTGATTGCTCGGAATGTGCTGCATATATCATTACTTTGTGAATTTGAGATGAATGTACATGCCTTGTATCACTTGCTTTTGTGGAAAAAAACTGAGAAATCAATTAAGATATCTTCAAAAGAGAAAATCTTCTTTGTGCCCTCCTTTTTCATCCCCGACTTTGTGAGCCTCACCTTCATTTTTGCGGGATTTGACAAGTGTGACCTTCGCGGGGCGGGGGGGCAGGTTGTGTGAGCGGCGGTCTGAGCGTGGGGAGATGCTCCTCTCCCGCGAGCCGCTGCGTTCCCGTTCCCTGTCCCTCCGCCCGCTGCCACGCCCGCTGCGCCTGCTAATAGCCCCGCCCACAGCGCTGTAAGCCCCGCTGCGTCCGCTCCGCGTCTCGTATATCTCTTCATCGTAGCTGTCCTCCTCCTCGTCATGCTCTGACATCGTTTCCCTCTCCCCCAGGCGGCCCATGGGGACATGCACCTTCCTCTTTCGCCTGATTGTCTGGAAATACGATCAGTTACAGGAATATGAAATCAATCACTCATCATGCACTTTCTCCTACTAGGCAATTCTGGAATATATAGGAAATGTCTTAATAGAGTGCCACAGTGACGCCTTCGCCAAAAAGCAATGCAATTTCTCCATAGGATTTTGGAAAATAGCTGGAAATAAGGTCTGGTGGTTGACACACATTTAAGAGACGGATCACGTTTTGTTCTACGACATTAAATACATCGGCAGTGACCCCACTGGTGATTTTTGAAGAGTTTACGTGTCTGAAAAACGATGGTTGTTAACAAGTGGCTGAATAGGACTACAGAAATTGGCGAGGCCGTTGTACGTCATTACACCGAACACGTAAATACTCCCGCTAAGTTTGTTTGCCCTGTTCTACTTGAAAGCAAGTACATGCCTCCTGCAAACTGTTAGAACAAACGCTTCAACTTGTGCAATTTTGAATCTGTATTTTTGAATATGGATCTTAAGTTGGCGTGACGTTGAAGCAGCGACCCTGCTGTAGTTCGTTTATAGCATAAATCTAATCTGGCAATTAGATTTACGATTAGAAAATTATAAAAGTAGGGTAGACATGTGAATATTATCCGACTGAACCAAATGTGATCCGTCTCTTAAATGTGTATAAACCACAGACCTTATTTCGAGCTATTTTCCAAAATCCTATGGAGAAATTGCATTGCTTTTTTGTCGAAGGAACCGGAAGAAGCTTACTTCCGGGTTTTAGGACGTGTCACTGTGGCACTCTATACCATGCATGGTAACATACATTAACCAAATCAAAAGGAATTCAAAGTAGGATGTTGACACTTACAATTTTGGCAATTTTCCCACTCTTGCGAAGCTGCTGGACTGCGTATGCATGCTCCACGTTGTCCATGGAGACAGCATTGACCATAACGACTCTGTCATTTTCCCTAGAGAGAGGACACAGAGACAGGCATCATGCCGGAGTCCTTCTGTAGCAGGAAGTGTAATTCAATACTAATAAATGTCAATAATAGAACAACATCTTACTGCAGCAGGCCTTCTGCTGGACCTCCTTTCAGCACATCCGAAATGACAATGGAGGTCTCGCCACTCTGAAAATGAGGGTTATCCCGACCTCCTGATATGGCTATCCCGAAGCCAAACCCTGGTGCCTGCATGCAGAGAGACAAAGATTAGGATGTTGATGTGTGGAACAAAATACTATGAATCAGAATCAGAATACCTTTATTGGTGCATGCATGATATAAATAGGTCTGAATACCGACAGACAGACAGACAGACAGACAGACAGACAGACAGACAGACAGACAGACAGACAGACAGACAGAGCTAAGTGAAATAGTCGACTGGCATATTCCACTTTCTTTTAAACGGTACAAAAATATACATTATTACGAAACATACTCCAAATATTATTTGTTCACAGCCAGCTAGCTTTTGTCTGCAAAAACATGCACAAAATGCAGTTTTGGTGTATTTCTGTACGCTTCATAGACAAAAAACATGAACAGAAAAAGCTCTGATTCGTCTGTTCCACCTGCATCTGTTCACACAGTAAGCACACTTAGAGGATGCTGAGAAAGAAAGCACAGATAGCAGAAACAGGCAGAGCACAGAGATACTGGGAGCAGGAGGAGTTTGAACAAAGACAGATGTAGAGAGCATCTGAGGGCGGAAGGCAGATACGTACCCTGTGTAGTGTTACTGTGTGCTGTTCCCAAATGACAGTCTCCTCCATTGCGGCGCTCTGGAAGACAGAGATAAAGCACAGCGTGATTAACAAGAGACGGCCTTTTGTCTCCTGACAAAGGGACACAGAGGGTCGGTCATGTGACCTGACACTTCCCTCGAGTTAACACCAAACAGGTTCAAAGTCATTCAACATCTTCAATACAGCCGACAATATATCAATTTAACACTTATCCAAAGGACAAACCTATTGTTTTCTCTCAAGACATTGGTTGAATGACAGAGAGTTCATTGGAAACCATTATATTATTGATTACTGGTAATGATGTTTTGAGCAAAAATGGCAAAAAATAATTGGTTGAAGCTTCTCAAATGTAAGTCTTCTATCATGGTAAGCTGAATATCTTTGGGATTTGGGCTAGTGGTTGTCAAAACACTGCATTTTAAATGTATCGGAACTAACAATGATTTTCATTATTGATTAATCTATAGACCCTCCCCCCGTCAAGAAAACAATAAATCATGTACCATGCAAAAAATAATTATTCAAACTGATGAATTGTAACATTTCAGTGTTCGAGCTCATCTGCTCCTTAATGGATCTTCACAGCAGCATTGCAGCACAACTGTGACTTTAACCTTTATCTCTGTCTGCAGCATGGTCCATCAGGAGCTTCTCCATGTGAATAATGTGGATGTGATTAGCACAATCTAGCTAATTGCCTCCATAATGTATACGCTATGTACAGTAAGTGCACTTTTGCAGTATAATTAATCTTATCTTGGATTGAGGGAGAAGAGGCTTTTTTAAATGATTTGCATCACTCCTGCACTGCAAAGAAAGGAATGGAAGGAATACTATTAAAGCCTGCACTGTCAAATATAGAGAACACACACTGAAAACAATAAACGGACTAGTATCATACACATTTTAAACGACAATCATATAATTTGACAGGTAAGCCCATTTCCACTTCATTCCCTTTACTGAGTTAAGAGTTTCTATTAAAAGAGAGAGGCAGTCTCAGTGTTTCTGGCCTCTTCACATGCGAAATCTAATAAGGATGGGAACTGTCACATCCACTATACACATACAGCGCTGCACCCAGCAGCTTATTGAGTTTGTTTCAAGTTTAACACTTTTACCTATTTACAGTGATACAGATAGCACTGTGTTGTGCTTGGTTTTTATCTGCAGTACACTCACACGTTACCAAACAGACCACACACCGTCAACATCCTCTCCACTAAAGTAGACCCACAGTGAGAGGTGCCATGTTTACACTGAATACAATCACACAACAATACATACTCTATATGCATTACATTAATGCACACAATGTTCATACTGCTTACTGCACATATTTCTTGTTTCATATTTCATATTTTATGTCCTATAATTCATTCATAGCATTCTATTTCCATGTAAATTACTGGTTTATTTTATTGCTATTTAAAGGTGGGGTAGGTAATTTTGGAGAAACCAGCTCGAGTGCGCTAGAATTTGAAAATACACAGCCGGAAAAAATCTGCCACTTCCTCACAGAGCCCCTCCTCCAACACACACGAACGCGCACATGACCAATGAGGGCACGAGATAAGTTTGTGCACAGATGGAAGGCTGACAGGCAGGTAGGCCATCCAGTTATTTTAGCCGGACCGACTAAAATGATTGGTCGTGCTTTTTACAGTACTACTGCTTCCACAGATGACATTTTTTTAGGGATTTTTTTGCCAAAGCACTTAAGATATTCATTGCTATCGGGATGTTAAGAGCATTCCATGGAATATAACAAAAAGTGTATCTCGAGCCGGTTTCTCAAACTTACCTACCCCACCTTTAACTATATTTTATTACGGTGTCCTTAAAGATTTTTTGTTTTATATTAGATTTCTTGTTTTATATTTTATGTCTGCACCAAGTCAAATTCCTCGTATGTGTGAACCTACCTGGCAATAAACCTGTTTCTGATTCTGATTGATAAAACCCTGCTAGGTACAATGAGGTCACACTGACAGTAAGTCTTTGAATTAAAGCACAGCCTCCGTTACATGAACACCACAGAGGATGAGATGAAGGTCGCCTCCTTCAGCTGTTGGGTCAACACTGTCCTCTGCGCCCCACTTCTTATCTTATCTCTCCTTTTATATCATTTCACCTCCACCACAATCTCACGACACATTAGACATTCAATGACTGCGTATAAAATACTAGCAGGTCCATTCCTTTGGGGGAAATTACAACCCACATCACAGCAACTTAATGCAATAACCCCCATTTGTTATGTAAATTGATCCGACGAGTGTGACCTTAATGGGTGAGACTGTCGCACATTTCCCTCCTGCTTTGCCGGTAATTTCTCTGGCACCTCCAACACTTACAGGACTCGTTGGGAAGAGTGATCTCATGTTGCGGCACATTAAAGTGCAATGAGAGTTGAGTGGAGGGAGATGAACGTTACATTAAAGGCAGCATTACTTCTAGTGCTCGAACTCTCAGCTGACAACATTTTAGTAGTAGTAGTAATTTATTTTGGTCCTTACTGAGATTATTTTATTCCTTATTTTCCAAAATGAATGCATAAAAAGATTATAAACAACAATAAATATTGGCAACAAGGAGTAGGCTAAAGGTTTTTAGAATATATTCCTAATGGGCAACCCTTTCACTACTAGGTCAACAGAAGAATTAGCTTTTTCAGCCATTTCATACAAATTGATAAACATATCTCGTGTCGTGTGTTTACAATTCCATTATCAACATTGTTCTTACATTTGTTAATTAAACGCCTTGTTGGCAGCTTCAAACCCCAAACATCGAACGTCTTCACGTTGAAGATAAATCTGCACATCACCATAAAAATGTGGTAAAGTAGGGCCAACCAGTTCAAGTGAATATGAGTCACAGGCAAATGGAAACACTTTTCAGGGAGATAATGTCTTCAATGTGGGCTATTTTTAGCAACGTCAATGTATGATAGAAAAGTCTAAGGATGTAATTTAGCTGGCTGCTGCCGTCCTGTTTATTGTTTGACCCCCAGGCCCTTCAGCACGTCGTCCTCATGTCTGTCTCGACCTGTCGGCTAAGTGCCAAGTGTTAGCCCGTGTCTGGGGATACAGGTGACTGAATGCATCGCCACAAGTGGCCCCAGACGTTTGGAGCTTTGGCAGCAACAGTCTCAAACTCCTCAATCGGCTTATGGTTGGATTCACACAAGGAGGGGGGGGGGGACAAAAGTCTGCACAGGGGAACTCCCCCTGGCTTTTTATATTGAATACACTTCCCCACTTCCGAGAGAAAAAAAAGACATCTGAATATTAACAAGACGGCTGAAAACAGGGGCAGAAAGTTTTCTATTCGGGGGAAGAAGATTTATACCCGTATCTTCTTCATCAGCGCTGTGGAAACGCTGATGCAGAGAACTCCCACATTTCCTCTACATTTAAAGATGGTGTGCCACTGAACTGCAAAGTTATAGGAGGTGCTCGTTTCCAGTTGACATCCCTACTTCCAGAAATTCTTTATTAGCATTTATGCAGCGCACACACAAACGTATACATTTTACGCCCTGTGTTGCAGCCGGGTTGTGAGAAATGTGTTGGTGTCTGGGAAATATGATTAGAGAATGCAAACCGTGTCTGATCCAATACAAATACATCTCCATACAATTAATGGAATGTTAAATCCCAAATGAGGCAAAACAGAAGGAAGTGGAAAATAAATTAAAACTAAACAGAATTTTAGGAAGGGAAAACAGAAGACACACAGACACACACCCACACACACACCTTTCACTTTGAAGGGATGTAATTTTGCTTTCTCCTCCTGCAGAGCTCGTTGCTCTGGTAACAGAGGGGGAACAGTGTGGTGTTGTTCTAGTGGCCTGACATTTTCAGGCCGTGTCTGAAGGTTCCTCCCAAATGTGTGTGGGAGGTTTAAAAAAAGACGGCTGAATTAATTTAGAAACAAAACTTTTGTTTCACATTTTAAATAAGCACTCTTTATTAGTTGCTAAATGTGTATCCTAACACATTCAACACAAAAGGCTCCATGGCCTCAAAAGTACTGATATCTGTACTGTAGGAATTAACAAAGATACATGACTGGCAGTACAATCAAATACAAATACTGTACACACATGACATTTTGACTTCAACCCTACAACCAATCCAACACTTTATTGCCCTATTCAGAGCCAGGGACACTAATCTCAAAAGTCAAGTAAACAACATAAAAGCCAGCGTTTGAGTCCACTCTGCACTGCTCTGTGTACAGTTTGTACTGAAGTCGTGTCAGCATCCAGAGATTGATGAGCTTTTGTGGCCCTGTTGTGTACGCCCTTTATGGCCACAAAGTCCCGGTGCCAACAGAAGCTTCATGCCACAAGCCAGAGCCAGGGCTGGCAGCCGCTGCTCAGCGGAGACACACCATGTTGGTTGGGTCATGCTTGGGGGATTACAACCAGGGAACTTTGGAGCCAGCACTACAACACAGATGGATCACACAGCTGAGGACAGAGAGGACAGGAAAGCTGTGGTCAGAAATGGACTGTGTGGAGTCAATACACAGACTGTTAATGACACAACTCCTCAATAAACCCATACAGATGGGCTTTATTGCTCAGCAGAACAAACTATTAAAGCATGTCTGTCGAAGAAACTCTCTCACATCAGCAGTTTAAACCACTAATTACCTCATGAATCAAATTAGGGCTGCAACTAATGATTGTGTTCCATAATGGTAGAGCAGAAATGATTGTGGAGATGATTAGGCTATTTATTTCTAGACTGAAATTTGATCAGAAACTACTCTGATAAAGTATAACTTATTTTCTCTTGAGTTTTATGTTTTTAGCAAAACTTGCAAAAGCTCACTGGTTCAAGCTTTTCGAGTGTAAGTTCTTTGTTTTCTCGAATGGGTTTTGCACTCTTGGTTCGACATTGTACTGTATATTGACTGTTACTTTCATTATATTTAGATGTGCAAACCATTGTCTTGCTTTAACATTAAGTCCATAACATGTTAATGGTGAACAAATGCAAATCACATTTACCCAA